CAGGATACTGGAAAAATGCAGTGTCTGTGAGTCCATCATCTGTCTTGTCTCTGCATGAGGGTTCGGGAGATTCTAAATGCTTCCCATAGTATGGAGATGTCCTCCCAGCTCCTGATACAAGTAACAGCAGCCTCAGAGCTGCTCAGATTTCCATTCTGTCTCCCATGGGGCACCTAAAGGAGCTGAAGCATGTGCCTGCTCCATCTCCCAGCGTGTTGCTGACACACCTCCTCTCTATGTTCTTTCCCAGTGGTTTTCAATGTTTTTAAACTTGAGGACTCCCTCAGAAATGCCTGTTCTTAGATTTCACTTGTTTTTTGACTACAGCAAAATAAATAGAGCAATTCTTCTGTTGCAAAGAATTCAGAAAGACCACAACAAGTCAGAATATTTTTGACATTATGAATATCTCTTTGAAGCCTCTGGGTTTATCTTGTGCATCATGTTTGCACACCTAATTGTGTGGCACCCTGCAGCACCCTTGAAAGATGTCAAGGCTCCCCAGGGTGTCACAGCACCCTGGTTGAGAACCATTGCTCTATCCTACAGACTGGCTGGGGGTACCAATTCAGGTAGCTTCATCCTCACAGCAGGACTCCTTAAACAGAGGGACATTGCCCCCGCACTGTTTCTGCCCTCTTTGCCCCACTCAGTAAGTTTTCACCATATCTTCTAAGGCTATGTGAAAATTGCTTGCCTGATCCAATACTGTTTAGAGACTGGGACCCAAATAGCTTTTGGCTGGGGGTTTGAGGATGAGTCTAAAACAAAGTTTCACTTAATATAAAAAACATGCTAGAGAGACCAGATATTTTCCCCCCCATCCTTGCATACAGGAGGAACGCTTCTTCAGACAGCTGGTGTTCTTCTATAACTGCCCTCTCAATACAGAGAAATAATGGGTCTTTTTACAGCTGCTTTTCACACAAACTTGCGCTTGATATCAAACTTGACATCGTTTGCCATTTCAGCTCAAACCTGTTGATGCCTTTTAAAATTCTGCTGCAAGCAGGGGCTAAAAAAATGGTATAAAAAATTAAAAGGGCATGAAGCAGTTAATTAAACTTGTGTGTAGGCAAGACCTTAAGAATGCCTACAGTGCCTGCAAGGGTGAAAGTTCACATATGCAAAAGGATTGCAACACTGCGTGTGCTGTGATAGAGCTGAATAATGGCTTAGAGCAGTCGTTCCCAGACTGTTCGGTAACTGCACTATTTATTCCAGCTAGCATGCACCACCTCCTCCTATTCATTTGTGCCTGCACTAGCCTGCAAAGAGCTGCTTGCCAGACTTTTCTGGAGAAGCCAAAGACATACTGCAGGTCCAAACTTGTGCAGTGGGATGGAGGGCAAGTAGTGACATTATACTAGCTCTCTGGGCAAAGGCTCTTTATTATAATAGGCCAGGCAAGCCCCAAACACGAGTCCAGAAAACCGGCAATACCGGTACCTCAACGTGCATTGCTGCTTGGGAAATACTGATTCGGAGGCAGGAAGGAGGCTAAGCTCTCTTTTGAAGGACTTGGTGCATCACAATGTACATGGCAATTTGCAGGCATCGAGATGTTTTACATGTGCCTTCACGTCATAGGAATATGTTCCCTGAGTATTAAAACAAACTCTGATTTTTTAAACAAATCTGCCCAGGAAACCAAGGTAGCTGTACTGTAAATAGATAATAATTACCTCAAAGCAGGATCTGCTCTCTTACTTCTATGTAAAGAAGAGCTGCAATAAGAATGGCTACTAACATTACTGCCTGTAGAACAAAATAGTCATAATTTCTTGTCACCAGGATTTCCCATAGCAAGTGTTCCTCACTCTCACAGCCTGACAGGCTACACTTTATTTCCCTAAAATTTCCCAGCGTGTCTGCAACTCCCTTGGCAGGAGGAACGACAATGGCGTCTGTGAAGACTGGTTGCCAATGTTTTAATTGTACTGTCGCTTATCCCTGTTCAGAGCTGGCCTACATAACACAGGCTGTGTCTACTGGGATAAAAGGTATATTTTTAACCAGTATTAAGCAAATCCAGATAGCCCCTATTTTAATTAACATGACTAGGGTTATCTCAATGAGCAGCACTAGTTCAAGCTATCTGTGACTCGTCTTTAGTAAGACAGCACCCCAGTTAAAAATGTTCATTAAACACATTATTTTTTAGTATTTTTCTAGTAAACGCTTGACAACCGTAGGTAACACTCTGGGGTCCAGCGTTGCCTCATCTACACTAGGACCATCCCATCTGTATAAAAGAAGTCCACATCACAGCACCTAGTGCAATATAAAATCCTAGTATACACAAGGCAGATATAATTTCTTACACCAGTGGCAGGGTTTACTTTTTTTTGAGGGGGGGAGTCCCATGCAAAAGTCCAGTTTCTGGCTCTACTCTTTACTAGGGAGATCACATTGAACATAAACTTAACGCAACGGCAGCCCCTAACTCGGGGAGCTGTGCACCCGCACCGTTTGTACTTCCCTAATGTCACTCCTGACCCCAGGTGGGAAGTATTGGTCTACCACTGTCATGCAGCTGTTCAAAGTCTCTGCCTCACCTTTCCTAAGATTTAGCGCTGAAATCGCTCCCGTGACCCAAAACATATTTCTGCGGAGAAGACACAGCCAACATTTCCTTATACAGTGTCTATTGGAGGAGACAGGCTGGGGGTAGAAAGGTTTAGGGAAGTATGATTAGGAACACTTCTTTGTAGACATAACTGAGGCATACCTGCTCAGGAGGCTTTCTTAGACAGTGCCCAGGACCAAGTTTTCTGTGACGCTGAGAGGAGGACATGGCCTAGCAGTGAGGGCCGTTCTCTACCACTTGCTCTGGACGGCACACGGCCTTCACAGACTCACCGGCGCGGTGGGCACCTCCGGGGTCAGCTCATCCAGCCACCTTGCTTCAGCAACATGGAGATGGGCTGCGACAGGCCTCTGTTCCCTGCCTGCGCCCGGCCTTCCTTTCAGACGTTATTTCTATCCAGGGCGGGATCTACACCCACACCTCGGACAGAAACAGCGACCCAAACAAAGAGGCTGTGACGATCGACCGCTCTTACCTGCCCACGCCAAAAGATCCCCTGGAAAGCATTATAGCCCCACGCTGGCTATGACCTGGAGAGCTGAGCACCAGCTCCAGCACCCGGGGCAGAAGAGAAGGGGCTCCTCTTCTTCCAGATGCCGTATAAAGCCGATCACAGCCACGTTAAGGCTCTTGGAGGAGAGATGCAGGTTTCTGAGGCTCTGGAAAAAGGAGAATATTTTGCTCGTGAGAGGCCGGCCAGCGTGTGAGTTGCTCAGAGCATCGTTGTGGTCTTTGAGGATGTCGCACCTACTGTCCGGCCCCTCAACAACAGCTCCCTCCGCCCTGGTCTGCAGGTAGAGCCCCATGGCCTCATGGGCATTGTGGCCAAGCTGCCGCCTGGCTCTGCCCTGGGGGTAGCCCTCCATGCCCCTGGGGTCAGACCAGGCCCTGCTGCATTGGCCCAGCCACAACCCCCCAGGGAGGAGTGGGGGGGGGGGGGGGTGGCCCTTCTCAGGGGG